TGTTGGTTTATCCGATATGTTTCGGATATACCTAGCCAATTTTTTGTATAACTTGGTTCACCTTTGAATTTTTTGCAGAATTGAACTTTGGATGCATGATATTGTAATTTCAGGGTACTGCTTCATTATAATATCGATTTTTTACGACTCAGAACTCCTGCTGCCCGCTCTTTGTTGGTTCCAGTCATTCTAAGGATAACGCTCTTCGCCGGCGTATGGACATGAATATGAATCAGGGTTAAGATCTAGTAGAAGAAGATGCTGTTGGACAAGTTCTCAGCACACTAGTGATGCGTACGTAAGCCAGCGTTTGTACCTTGGTAAGCGTCTTAATGGCTCCAAGATGTGTGGTTCTATCAGACGAGATGTTGGCTCAATAAATTATCATTGGTCGTACTATCGCCGTAGCCGCGTGTGATTTGCCAGAGTAAATTTTGGTTTGTTAAGGCCGTAAATTTCGGTTAAAATACGTTGCTATGAAATGACGTTGAGCAACAGGACCTGGTCCGCCAGAATATGCAAGGCCCCCTTCGAGCTTTTGATAACAAACAAGATTTAGAAAGGAGAACTTCTTGTCTCGGATGCGGGAGAATACAGTAACTTTTTTTTTTGTGGTCCCACAATACATTTTTAAAAAATCACGCTCCATTTTTCAAGTTATGTATGGAGGTATACCGGCGACAAAATAAAGTATCTCCTCCTATCACAAACAAAAATTCACCGCCTCGTCATGGGAATGACAGTTATAATTCAGAAAATGTAGAAAAGTTGTAAAAGGATTTTATCAAATAGCAAATAAAAAATATATAAAAAGTGGCACAAAACTACAAAAATACATGCATACATATGTACATACGTAAACATCCAGAACAATATCCTTATTATCCATTTTATGGTCTTTAGATGGCTGCTGTTTGGTTGTTATTGAATTTTGTATTGGTGTTGGTACATATTGCTTGTTTGTGTCCACAAATAAAGAGAGACACCATGTCCTGTAAAGCACACCAGACCTCCCACACATACATATAACATTACATTACATTATCGATGACCTATCCAACAACTACTGTTCCTTTATTTCAATTTCCTTTTTTGCTTGAATCGTGCTTTCTCCCTTCGCTCGACTTGCCGTTCACTCTTGCCTAACACCTTGCTTTTTTT